AGCCGGGGCTGCGAGGGAAGCTTGGGTCCAGCATGCCTGCCGGTGGCCAGAGGGAAGCCCAGGTCCTGGGTGCCAGAGGGAAGTGGCGCTGGCAGTTGGGGGAAGAAAGGCCTACTCTTGCATGAATCTCAGTGGTCAGCAAACTGCGACTTGCGAGCCACATGTGGCTCTTTGGCCCCTTGAGTGTGGCTCTTCCACAAAATACTGACTTCTATACATGGGCCACGAAGTTTCAATCGCACTGTACATGTGTGCCCACCTGTGGTATTTTGTGGAAGAGCCACACTCAAGGGGCCAAAGAGCCGCATGTGGCTCGCGAGCCGTTTGCCGACCACTGCCCTATCTTATCAATATTGTATGAAGTGTGAAATAAGCAAGAGTTAAATCTCATTATGGAGGCATGCCTTAAGCTTCACCTGACACATTCACTGCTCACCACCACTTGTCATTTTTCAGTGAGATCATTCACCAAAATCTTTTTTTTTGTTTTTGTTAATCCTCCCTCACCCGAGGATATTTTTCCCATTGATTTTTTTTTCTTTTTAAGAAAATGGAAGGGAAGGTGAGAGACAGAGAGCGAATGAAACATCCATGTGAAAGAGACATATTGGTTGGTTGCCTCCTTACACGCACACAGAATGGGGCCAGGGATGGAGTCTGCTTCCAAGGTATGCGCCCTTGACCAGAATGGAACCTGTGATCATTTAGTTCTTGTGCTCACACTCCAACCACTGAGCAACATTGGCCAAGGCCACCAATCTTTTTTAAAAATTACATTTCTTACTTTATTTTGGTCTTAGATCCAACAGAAGTTTTTGCCCCCCCCCCCCAGACGTACTTTGATTTTATCAATTATTTTTTTTTCTTTATTGATTAAGGCATAACATGTGTCCTTATCGCCCCATAACCTCCCTCCCCCCCCCCCCCCCCGCCCCCCCCCCCCGCTCATGCCCTCACCCCCCTGGTGTCTGTGTCCATTGGTTATGCTTATATGCATGCATACAAGTTCTTTGGTTGATCTCTCCCCTTTAACCCCACCTTCCCCTGCCTTCCCTCTGAGGTTTGACGGTCTCATTGATGCTTCACTGTCTCTGGATCTGTTTTTGTTCATCAGTTTATGTTGTTCATTATATTCCACAAATGAGTGAGATCATGTGATATTTATCTTTCTCCAGCTGACTTATTTCACTTAGCATAATGCTCTCTAGGTCCATCTATGCTGTTGCAAATGGTAGGAGTTCCTTTTTATAGCAGCATAAAATTCCATCGTGTAGATGTACCAGCTTTTTAATCCACTCATCTGCTGATGGGCATTTAGGCTGTTTCCAGATATTAGCTATTGTAAATTGTGCTGCTATGAACATAGGAGTGCATATATCCTTTCTGATTGGTGTTTCTAGTTTCTTGGGATATATTCCTAGAAGTGGGATCATTGGGTCAAATGAGAGTTCCATATTTAGTTTTTTGAGGAAACTCCATATTGTTCTCCACAGTGAATGCACCAGTCTGCATTCCCACCAGCAGTGCATGAGGGTTCCTTTTTCTCTGCATCCTTCCCAGCAATTGTCATTTGTTGATTTGTTGATGATAGCCATTCTGACAGGTGTGAGATGGTATCTCATTGTCCTTTTGATTTGCATCTCTCGGATGATTAGTGACCTTGATCATGTCTTTCGAAAAGTATGTATTTAGGTCCATTGCCCATTTTTTGATTGGGTTGTTTATCTTCCTTTTGTTAAGTTGTATGAGTTCCCTGTAAATGTTGGAGATTAAATCCTTATCAGAGATAACATTGGCAAATATGTTCTTCCATGCAGTGGGCTTTCTTGTTGTTTTGTTGATGGTTTCTTTTGCTGTGCAGAAGCTTTATATTTTGATGTAGTCCCATTTGTTTATTTTCTCGTTAGTTTCCATTGCCCTAGACCAGTGATGGCGAACCTTTTGAGCTCGGCATGTCAGCATTTTGCAAAACCCTAACTTAACTCTGGTGCCGTGTCACATATAGAAATTTTTTGATATTTGCAACCATAGTAAAACAAAGATTTATATTTTTTGATATTTATTTTATATATTTAATTGCTATTTAACAAAGAAAAATCAACCAAAAAAATGAGTAGGTGACATGTGTGTCATTGGTTCGCCATCACTGCCCTAGACAGTGGTCGGCAAACTGCGGCTCACGAGCCACATGCGGTTCTTTGGCCCCTTGAGTGTGGCTCTTCCACAAAATACCGACTTCTGCGCATGGGCCACGAAGTTTCAATCGCACTGTACATGCGCGCCCACACGTGGTATTTTGTGGAAGAGCCACACTCAAAGGGCCAAAGAGCCGCAGGTGGCTCGCGAACCGCAGTTTGCAGACCACTGCCCTAGGAGCTGTATTGGTGAAGATACTGCTTGGGCATATATCTGAGATTTTGTTGTCTTTGGATTCCTCTAGTATTTTTATGGTTTCCCGTCGTACATTTAAGTCCTTTATCCATTTTGAGTTTATTTTTGTGTATGGTGTAAGTTGGTGGTCTAGTTTCATTTTTTTGCATGTATCTGTCCAATTTTCCCAGCACCATTTATTGAAGAGACTGTCTTGATTCCATTGTATGCTCTTGCCTCCTTTGTCAAATATTAATTGAGCATAGTGGTTTGGGTCGATTTCTGGGTTCTTTATTCTATTCCATTGGTCTGTATGTCTGTTCTTGTGCCAGCATCAGGCCGTTTTGAGAACAGTGGCTTTGTAGTATAACTTGGTATCTGATATTAAGAGCCCTTCTACTTTGTTATTTTTGTGTGTGTGTGTGTGTATTTTTTATTCCATCTTCAGATTTTGCCATTAGTTTTCTTTATTGTTACTTTTCTTGTGTGTTTAATACTTTCTTTAATTAGATTGACTAACAAGCAGGAAATAGTGCTTGAAACTAAATCCCCTGTAAATTTCTTAATTTAGAATTTCAGTCTTGCTTTTCTCTTTTAATAAGAGCTTATAGGACTTAAATTTTTTTCAAAGAGGTTATAAATGTCAGTAGAATGTAGGTGTCTTTTTGAAACTTGTTGTTGGTATTGTGTGGACCTTCTTCATTTTAACACTTTACATTTTCTTTTCTCATATAATTTCTATGGTGATTACTTTTTGGTTCATTTTTTTATTGTTCACTTCTTTTGTCTCTTTTAATATTGGCCCTTTTTTCCTATTAATTTTCTTCTGAAAGTCCTGTTAACACAGTTCTGTTGTATAGTATTTAATATGGGAACTAAGAGAATAATAAGGAATACCTATTTTGTTATTTAGGTCTTCCTTTGCCAATGATTGCCACTTTATCATATTTTCTTTATTTTATTTTTTTAAAATATATTTTATTGATTTTTTTACAGAGAGGAAGGAAGAGGGATAGAGAGTTAGAAACATCGATGAGAGAGAAACATCGATCAGCTGCCTCCTGCACACCCCCTACTTGGGATGTGCCCACAACCAAGGTACATGCCCTTGACTGGAATCGAACCCGGGACCCTTCAGTCCACAGGCCGACGCTCTTTCCACTGAGCCAAACCGGTTATGGCTATCATATTTTCTTTAGATTTTGTAGTGTTTTCATTAAACTCCGACACATAGTGGAAATCTCCTTGGTACTGTTACCATGATATTGATATTATTGACATGTTTATTTTTATACTTTTACTGTATGGATTATTCCTCCTGATCCCAAGAGGAACAGTGGTTTTCAGCTCATAGATTCCTAATAGAATTTACTGGGAGCTTTTAAAAAAACAAACTACCTGATAGCTATATTGGCCTCCTTGTGAATGGTACGTCAGGCATTGCTGTTTTACAAAAGTTCTTGATATAGTTGTAATATTCACCCAGTGTTAAGAACCACTGCTTTAGAGGATTTTGAAAATTTCTGCCACACCTTCTAAGGGTATTTGAAGTGATCTGATACATTTTTGCTACTTTATGAATTTTTAGCACCAGATACAGTATTTTCTTAAGTCAGTGATTTATCAAGTGGTGACAAATTAAGAGGGGTTTCTTTCCTCTGGGGTGGTGGGGAATGTATTAGAAGGCTGGGTCATCTCAGTTGAGATCATGATGAAGAAACTTTTAGTTTTCACCTGCAAGGTATGAGGGAGAGAAACAGTCTTTGTTCTTCTGCATGGGAATGGTAATCCTTTTCACCCCTCACAGTCTAGTATCCATTGAGGAGAGTTGGAGTCAGTGAGCTTTTCCCAAGGCCTGAAGAAATCTATGCTCCAACAGTAGTTACTTCAGGAGGAAGTTGTGAAATAGAGAAGTTATAAACATATGTTTAGACTGCTTTGGCTAATTTTGAAGTAGTACATTTGGCCTCTTTGAGGACATTTTAGCTTCAGAGCTATTTTTCTCATGTGATAAAATGTTTTATGAAATAAACTACCTTTGGAATTGAGTTTTGAGAATTCCAAGGTTTGTACCTTTTTAAAAAATATATATATTTTATTGATTTTTTTACAGAGAGGAAGGGAGAGGAATAGAGAATTAGAAACATCGATGAGAGAGAAACATCGATCAGTTGCCTCCTGCACACCTCCTACTGGGGATGTGCTGGCAACCAAGGTACATGCCCTTGACTGGAATCGAGCCTGGGACCGTTCAGTCCGCAGGTTGACGCGCTATCCACTGAGCCAAACCGGTTAGGGCTAGCTAGGTTTGTACTTTTTTAAGAACCTGCTTCATTACTGAAAGTTATTATGTTGTTAATATCATGAAGTTTACGAAATGGTCAAATGATCTTATCTTTATATCTGCAAGCATAAATAGTACTAAATGTACTATGAACTCACTACATGACTTGCCCTTGACAGATTAATATAATTTCAAATAATATAATTTAAAAATGGGGGCATTTTTTTTAACTACAAGTATATGGCAAATCATTGTTAATTTGATGCATTGATTAAATAATTTAACCAGAGGATTAAAACTAATACAAATAGATACTACTGTTTCAATATCCTGATTTATTCATCAGATAAAAATTTCCAGTGGGCAAATACTGGAGCAACTGTGTTTGGAACACAGTCAACCAATAAAGTTGGTGAAGAAGAAGATGGTAGTGATGAAGAAGTAGTTTATAATGAAGATATCCACTTTGAACCAATAGTGTCATTACCAGAGGTAACTATTAAAGGATGAAAATCTTACTAATAACATCATATTTTAGGTTTCAAACTTGATTTTACAGGGCTGGCTTTGTTTGCATTTCTTTCAAAATATTTACAGTTTCAAATGGAAGCTCTTAATTAGAAGTTAAGTCTTTAAGTATAAATTGTCATTTTTGTTAAAATTTATATATAAATGTTGTTTGGTATATTACATATAAAATTATTGGGAAGAGCTAATTTTTTTCATATGTTTGTTTTCATAACATAATTAATTCTGAGAGCAAATATATCTAATCTCATACTTGCTAAAGTCCTATCAGTAAAAATAAACTCTACATTTCCTGGACAAGAATGTTGTTTTAGACAAATTATTTTCAGTTTTCAACCTCAAGTTGTAAATATTTCTCTTGAAGAACTTTTTGAAACCACTTCTGTCTTATAAAAGAATGTATTTAATTTTCAAAAGGAGGAAGAATACTACATAAGAGAAAAAGATTTAATAACAAGTGAGGTCTACACTGTGTAATCCAAGCCAGACGTATTCTTAGCCTTAGGATATTACCATTTGTTTTTATAGCACAGTTAATGTTTTGTTAATGTCATTAACAAAGACAGTATTTTAAGGAATTTGTTATGGAATATGTTATGAGCAGCAGCTTATTTTTCATCTATCATAGGTAGAAGTAAAATCTGGAGAAGAAGATGAGGAAATTTTATTTAAAGAGAGAGCCAAACTTTATAGATGGGATCGAGATGTCAATCAGTGGAAGGAGCGTGGTGTTGGAGATATTAAAATTCTTTGGCATACACTGAAGAATTATTATCGGATCCTAATGAGAAGAGACCAAGTCTTTAAAGTGTGTGCAAATCATGTTATTACCAAAACAATGGAATTAAAACCCTTAAATGTTTCGAACAATGCTTTAGTTTGGACTGCCTCGGATTATGCTGGTAAATGCTACTTTTCACTTTGTGGATTTTCCTAAAATCCATAACAATATTATAACATTTTGATATTGAGATAACTGTGTTGTTTTGTTGTTTAATAGATGGAGAAGCCAAAGTGGAACAGCTTGCAGTGAGATTTAAAACTAAAGAAATGGCTGATTGTTTTAAGAGAAAATTTGAAGAATGTCAACAAAATTTATTAAAACTCCAGAAAGGACAGGTATCACTGACAGCAGAATTATCAAAGGAGACAAATCCTGTGGTGTTTTTTGATGTTTGTGCAGATGATGAACCTCTAGGACGTATAACCATGGAATTATTTTCAAACATTGTTCCTCAAACTGCTGAGAACTTCAGAGCATTATGCACTGGAGAGAAGGGTTTTGGTTTCAAGAACTCCATTTTTCACAGAGTAATTCCAGATTTCGTTTGCCAAGTAAGTATTGACTGTGTATCACAATTGAAGTCTAGAAAAGTGTACTACACTAATAGGGAAATTTGAGTGTTCCTCTTCACCTATAATTTTCTTAGATTTCTTTAGCTTTTCCACACATTAGTTGATCTTACCATCTCAATATATCCTACCCCCACAAAAAATTTTCAGCTTAAAATAGTTGAAATTTCTAATAACTTTAAACCTTCTATAAATTGAGGGTGGGAAAAAGACCTCTTGTCATTTTTGTCTTCTTTCAAAAATGGGCATTACTTAGTGTTCATACCACATTTTCTCGCAATCTGGGTGATGAGGACTTATCCGTAGTGGGTGGTTAGTCTGTGTGCATTGTAATATTTTACTGAGGATCCCTATTAATAATAATTTTTTTTCAGGGTGGAGATATCACCAAACATGATGGAACAGGAGGACGGTCCATTTATGGTGATAAATTTGAAGATGAAAATTTTAATGTGAAACATACTGGTCCTGGCTTCCTATCAATGGCTAATCGAGGCCGCGATACCAATAATTCTCAATTTTTTATAACATTGAAAAAAGCAGAGCATTTGGACTTTAAGCATGTAGTATTTGGGTTTGTTAAGGATGGCATGGATACTGTGAAAAAGATTGAATCATTTGGTTCTCCTAAAGGGTCTGTTAGTCGAAGAATTAGTATCAAAGAATGTGGACAGATATAAAGTCATTTTTTTTTATAGTAAACTTTACCTGTATAAACAGTTGATTTGAAGCTTAGCTGTTATGACAATATAGTAATTATGTTCAGCTTTTGAAAATGGACATTTCTAATGTATAAATGTAAAATTGCAGCGTATAGCTGTTGTCACTTTTTAATGTGTTACAATTGACCTTGCATGGTGTGAAATAAAAATTTAAACACTGGTTTGTTTCAGGTGTACTTGTGTTTATGTACTCCTGACATATTTGTATTAAAGTGGAATAATACTAATCTTGTTAAAAGCAATAGACCTTCTCATTGAAGGAATATTATATAAACAATTTAATTTTAATTTCTTTTAAGATACTGGACTTCCTGCATGGATATATTTACTGTTTGAATAAAGGGACCAAAATGGGGGTAATTTTTATTTTAGATTTGAAAATATATTTGGTAATTTTAACTATTGGTGTTCTCATTTATGCATAGAGACTTATGAATGGGCAGAGCCCAGAGGTTAGAGACAACCAAAGTGCTCTTCTATAATCTTTGCACCTCCTGGATAGTTAATGAATTTCTAAGTAGAGTACCTTTTCTTAAAATTATTTGTAGCTTCCTGTGCCCTTTCAAAGGTATTACATTTATTTTTACATTTGAAACAAGTTGAGTATGTCCTTAGATTTTTTTTTTTAACTTTTCTGTCATCTATTTCTACTACCTCAAATTGCAGCTTTGTTCTAGTTGAACTTGAGTTTTTCCTTGCAGTTATTGTGATAAAGTGTGAATATTTTAAAAAGATCTCTTCCATGTTTTTGGTTAAAGATTTGCTTTATACTAGATTGTTGCAGTAACTTTTTCTGGTGAATTTTGTAGCAAAAATAAAATGACAATTGTTAACAGCCATGACATTTAGAAAATTTATTGTGCATATAATTGTTTGTTAATTCTAGAACCAAATTATGGAGGACAATTAAAGGTCTATAAACTCAAAATGCCACATAATTTCCACAGCCCCCAAGGAAGTGACTTTTTTCAAGTTTGATACACACTGAAAATTTATTTGGAAAATGTCTAGTTTCAAAAGTTAGACTGCTAAAAAGGGATATTCTCATAAGCCTACTCAATATAGAACTACAAAGAAGCTAATTAGAGCACAAGATTTGGTATATTCCAATCATTCTAATCACTAATAGTGGCTGCCTTCTGCCCTCCTGTGTTCTTCCCAGTGAAATCATCACATTTAGCAAAAGACTGGTGTTTTTTCTGTTGTTTAGGGATTTGGAAATAGGCTATCCTATATCATAAAAGGCTATTATGCAAATTGACTGAATGGCGGAATGGCAGTTTGCTATGACACGCACTGACCATCAGGGGGCATATGCTCAATGCAGGAACTGTCAGTCAGATATCCCCCGAGGCCTCCTGGACTGTGATAGGGTGCAGGCCGGGTTGAGGGGCCACCCCTTTCCCGAGTGCACAAATTTCGTGCATTGGGCCTCTAGTCTCTCTCTATATAAAAGGCTAATATGCTAAGTGTCACTCTGACCATCTGACTGGTCGCTATTATGCACACTTACCACCAGGGGGCAGATGCTTAATGCAGGAGCTGCCGTGACACGCATTGGCTATTTACAAAGAAACGGCACTATGGACCTGGTGCCCACAAAGCAACACTCGGCTTCCCCCAAGTGGGATACAGGCCCTACCACCACCCTGGAGTGACAGCCCACCAAATCGCAGCCAATGCTGCCAAGACCCCATTGCGCAAAATGTGGCCCAGAGCCTGGCCCAGCCCAGAAATGATGGCTGTGGGCACCTAGTAATGATGTTATGTAGCAATGCCCGGCTTTCTCTCCCTAGCGACTAGCCTCCTTGGAGTTTCTTCAGCCCAGGAACATGACTTGTTTTATAGCCAGGTGCAAACATTTTACACTTTAACCAAATGTCTGTGAAGTGTTTTCTCATGCCTCATCTCATTTGATCCTCACAGAAGTCCTGGAGTAGGTAGATAGGAGACCCAGTGGAATCCTAGTTTCTTTTCATTAGCTAGAAAATGGAGATTTGGAAAGTTTAGAGACTTGACCCGACTGAAAAGAAGTAAGAAATGGCCCTGACTGGTTTGGCTCAGTGGATAGAGCGTCGGCCTGCGGACTGAAGGGTCCCGGGTTCGATTCCGGCCAAGGGCATGTACCTTGGTTGCGGGCACATCCCCAGTGGGGGGTGTGCGGGAGGCAGTTGATCGATGTTTCTCTCTCATCGATGTTTCTAACTCTCTATCCCTCTCCTTTCCTCTCTGTGAAAAATCAATAAAATATTTAAAAAAAAAAAAAAAAAAAGAAGAAGTAAGAAATGGTGGACCTTAAAATGACTTCAGGTTTTTTCAGTGTGCAGAGTATAGTCAAACACTGCTACAGTTAAATATTTCACCCTTTATTCTCCCTGCGTGATCTATAATAATCTGCTTCCTGTTGATATTTACTGCAGTGTTGTTGACAGTTACCTGAAAGAGAAGTTGGGGTGCTTCACTGGGCTGGAAAAAGTTTAGCTAAATCAGAAAGCAGGTCTAATTAAGCAAGCTTATCTATATAAAGCTCTCTCTGGTGCCAATCGCATGGTGTATTTGCATCTGTCATTGTCGGTTGTGAATTTGGTTGACACTATTATAGAGAAAGGGTGAATACCGATATTAAAATATTTCATCTAATTCATTTACTTTTTTAATTTCCCTTATTTTATTATACTTAATATTGTCTAATAGCCACTTACTGCTTAAGTTTCCAATTCATTTCCTTTTAATTTGCACAAATTTGTGCACCGGGCCTCTAGTCCTGTAATAAGTACCTGCTCAACCACTAGTTAAAGGAGGAGAGGAATGTCGTGTGTGGCTTGTGTAATGAGTGATCACTAAATCTACTTGGCCATATAACCAGATAACTGATATTCTAGTGTATCAGTTGAACTACATGAACCTTAAAAAGAACCACGGACTACATGTATGCTCAATAAAAATTGGCTTTTTTGGAAGCTTATGTAGTATAAATTGCTATAAAGTTGTGAATTTTTCAGCTGGGACAGCTGATGCCTGTTGTGATTTTGGAATAATATTCAAGTAAAGGCAAGTGCAATGTAGAGATTTTTGTTTAAAGAAATCAGTGGTATCTTAAAGCATTCAAATTTTGAGTTAAGAAGCTTTAAAAATTAATATTTTGACCAAAAGTTTGATAAAAATGGCCAGTAAATTGACTTTTCTATTAGTGTTCCAAAGATGCTTAAAAGTGGCTTGAGGCAAAGGATTTTGCCTGTGACTTCTGTTATTTTTTAATGTGGTATAAACCCACGTTATGTATTTCTTAAACTGGTTTGATTTTATATTGGCTCATTAAATTCTGTTTAAAGATAGAGTATAAAGAAACTCATTTTTATACCATAGTTATAGTGTATGCCGAATAATTATTGGTTTAAGTAATTATCAGGTAACTATTAAAATATTCATCTTACAAAGTTTTTGGCATTTGAGGAAATTTAAAGATAATCCAGAAACTCTAGGAATTATTAGTCCAGACATGCTAGTGAATACAATTTAGAAAAGTAAAGGGTTATGCTAGTGTATTTATATAAGAAATTAAGTGGTTATTTAGTTATTCAACTCAAGTAGTCTCTGATTTAGGTTGATATACTGAGCACCTGCTAAGTGACAGGCACTGTTCTGGGCATTGGGGGATTTTTTTTTTTTTTTTTAAAAGCATGCTCTCATGTAGCTTACATTCTAATACTGCTTATTAATATACCCTGTTACTCTGAATAGGAACTACTGGCCCATAGTAGGAAAGTGAAGAGGTAATTATTGAAATAGCTATACTTTGTAGTACGATTTATTCTTGGATTTACCCCTCACTTAATATTACAGTTAGCAAGGCCACCTTGATTATGTCCAAACGCACACAAATACGTCAGATATGCCCCAGACCAAGGTGCGGTCCTACCCGTCAGGTGTGGACCATCCTGGTGAGCCCAGTATCTGGACAGATGCCGAATGCATTCCCGCCTGTACAAGAGATGCAGTGGTTACAAGGCAGTGACTTCCTCCTTGGCCCTGGAGCTCTGAGGCTGCAGCTGGAGTGAGGGGACACCCCTGCGAAGTGCAACCTAGGTAGACATGACGGAAGAAAACGAAGTAGCAAAAGACTTAAAAGAGTAGACGCCATTTATCAGTCCAAATGACACTAATGAAGCAAATAGTCACTAAAGGCAACGCTAGGACGTTTTTAACAAAGCGTGACAGGGACCCAGACCTCGCATGAGGGGCGGGGCGTTTCGTGCGTCATGACGCACTTCCGCGGCGCGAGCTCCGCCCCTGCGCGTCCCGCCGCGGATTTGAACGCTGTTCCTGAGGAGACAACGGTGGCCTAGCACGATGCAGCCGAGGGTCGTCAAGCCACCTGGGCAGGATTTCGCAGTGGAGCGCCTCAAAAGCCGCTACGGGCTGGGTGGCTGCCGCCCGGCCGAGGTAAGACCTCTCGCTTCCTCCTCGCCCTGCCCGGGCCGCTCGGGGAAAACAGGTGGAAGGAAAGTTAGCTACAGGGGAGAGTAGTTCTGGACCGCAGATGGGAAAACAGTGGGCAGGTGACAGAGTCACATAAACAGGAAAAACGGAAAAGTTTCTTCACCATATGCTTTTGAAGGTTTATGTTCAGCAAATCGTGGTATGTCATTGTTGAAAGTGTTTTTGAACTTTCATAGTGACTTGGAGTTCAAAAAACAATTTAACTCCTTTAAAAGGCTTATTTTGAAATACTTTCAAACTTAAAAAAAAAGTTGCCAGAATCCTCTTCTACCCTTCTCTTGTATTCACCATTATTAAACTTTGCCACATTTGCTTTACAATACTCTCAGAGGGGAAGGGAGAGGGAGAGCTAGAAACATCAATGATGAGAGAGAACCACCCATGGGCCGCCTCCTGCACGCCCCGCACTGGGGATCAAGCCCTCAACCCTGGCATGCGCCCTAGACTGGAATGGAACCCGGGACCCTTCAGTCCGATGCTCTATCCACTGAGCCAAATGGGCCAGGGCTCTCCCTCTTTTTGACTCCCTTTCCATACAGACATTTCCCCCTGAACTATTTGGGCATAATTTGCAGACATCGTGACTCTTTACTGTCAGGTATAAATGCTTCAGTGTGTTTTCCTAGAAATAAGGGCATTGTCTTGTATAAGCAGAATAGAGTAATAAATTCAGGAAACTTGACATTGGCACAATATTATGAATTTCATATTAAAATTTTATCAATAACCTCAGTAATGTCCTTTGTATACAAATATTTTCTCCTGGTGCAGATACAGTTAAAACAAGCATTGCATTTTTTTTCTTCTTTTTGTTGCCTTTAATTTAGATTAGGTTCTGAAGGCTTTGTCTTTTGTAATATTGATATTTTTGAAGAATATAGAACAATTATTTATTAGAATGTCTCTCTGTGGGTTTGTCTGATGATATGATTAGATACTGGTTATATATTTTTGTCAGGAATGTTACATGAATGGTGTGTGGTTTGCTATGTTCATCAGGAGACTCTTGATGTTGCTTTGTCACATAATTGATGTTAACTTTGATCACTTGATTAAGGTGGTGCCTACCAGATTTTTCCACTGGTCTAATTAAAGGCTAACCTTTATACATAATTTATAGGGAACTATTTTGAGACTGTAAGTTGATTCTTAGTATATACATTAAGTGTCATCATTTTTTCTTTTTTTAGTATTCTGTTTCAAGTTTTGATCAGACTAAATCTAAGAGAAGATCTCTAACCTCCCCAGGTAAGCCTGTAGAGAATTTTCTGTATTTGGGGTTTTAGCAAATTTAATTTGAGAGAAAAGACTTTTAAAAAATGTTTAGACTTAAATCACTATTGCCATATGTCTTGTGACACTAAGCTTTATTCAGTCTGGTAATAATCTATTAGTAATCATGATATTTGGGGTGAATGTGTAAGAAGTCTTTAAAAATAAAATTGAATTTTTTGGTGTTTCAATTACAGTATTTTTATATTAAAAATTAAACTGTATTAGGTAAAGAAGACTAATGGCTATTTTTTCACACAAGCTTTCCCAAGTTATTAGAGTAATTATTGCACTGGAGGAATTAAGCAAATAAATTTGTTTAATAATGTTAATTATACTGTGGGATTGGATGTGTTGGAACATCATGTGGTAATATGTGACTAACATGCATAGCTAATTAACCATTAGAGTTTTTATTTTTTTGATACTTCTTAGGTAGTGTCTTTAGTAAGTGTAATCATTGAACTTGGAGATGATTTTAGCAGAAACAGTAGTTAATATCTTTAAAAGTTCATTAGATGGTGGATTAAGGAATTTCACTTTTTTCCACGCTTATTTCATTTTGAAATTTTGTAACAATCTTCTAAAACGTTTTTTCAATATGAAAAAAATATTCCAGTTATTACTGAGTCCAATATCTTAAAAATATCTTGTAAAAATTGAATTTTAATTTTGAAAATTGCCCTAAAACTTTCATCCTTCCAAAATATAACTGAAAAGTATAGGTCATTAAATTTCTGAGGGGGTAAAAATGAGTGTTAAATAGGGTGCATACAATTTATAAGTAATTCTAAATAGCTTATCAGAGAAGCTCTATTTTCCTTTTTTTGACTGAATTTAGATATAGGCTATCATTTTATTAAACAAATCATAATGTTTAAGTATATAAAATTGAAAATAAAATATTTCATGGTTGAGGACTGATGAAATACCATAAGTATTTAGAAAGAGGGCTGGATTTTCAATTTTATTCTTTCTATTTGCTGGTTGTGTTATGTGGAAAAATTTGCATAACTTCTCTGATTCTTAGGTTTCTAATCATTAAAATAGAATTAAAAGAACCTGTTCTGCTTGCTTTGAGGGGTTAGGATCAAATAAGGTAATGGATGAAAAAGCATTTTGTAATCAGTAAAGTGCTATAGTATAAATGTAAGAGTTGATGTTTATTTTCTGGAAGTTTGCATTAAGGAGACATAGATATAAGAAATCCTTTAACTAATTTTGCTGTCTTATCTTTAGGAGCCTAGAACAATATAATTAGGTAAGTAATCTCTGCTGTTTTCTTTTTTCTTAATAGATGACTTGGATGTCTACTCATCGGGAGATAAAGTTGATTCCTTATTAAGATGGTATTCTGATGAAAGAAAGCATTCCACTATACCTCTTTATAGTTCATCCAAGCACTTCAATATGAACTGGTAAAGTACCCTGTATCCTTACTGTTGCTATCCCTTCAGTATCTCAAAACACTGAGAAAAGGCAAAGAATGGATTATTTATGTGTTTGCTTTTTTCTGAGAGGAAGTATAAGCAGTCTGGAGCCCGCTGAACAGTAGTGTATGTCTAGTAGTGTGGTAAGCAATGGATTTTAGATAGGCTGAGAGAGAAAGAAAGAGAGAGAGATTGAAGTCTGGGAGATGCTAACTGGGCTGTGAGAGGTTAGTAGTTTTGTATAGGAGATTTTACCCTGGGTGAAACAAGTATACAAACAGTGGAAGCTGCCTGGCCAGTGTGGCTCAATGCTTGAGTGTTGACCAATGAACCAGGAGGTAACAGCTCGACTCCTGGTCAGGGCACATGCTCGGGTTGCAAGCTGGATCCTCAGTAAGGGGCCAGAAGGCAGTGGATCATTGATTCGCTCTCATCATTGATATTTCTATCACTCTCTCTGTCCCCCTTTCTGAAATCAATAAAAATATACTTAAAAACACACACACACACAAAACAGAAGTAGAAGCTAAGGTGAAATAAAATTCCAAATTCGATCTTATTAAATGCCAAAAATATGGCAGGAGGAAGTGCTATTTGTATAGAGGGGTAAACATCTACACTAATAAAAGACAAAGATGCTAATTGACCATATCTCCGCTATGCCCCAAGCCATGCCCACCAGCCACTCAGAGTGACTGTATGCAAATTAACGCAACCAAGATGGCAGCCGGCAGCCACGGAGCTGGAGCAAGCAGGAGGCATGGTTGCCCCGGCGATGGAGGAACCCAAGCTTCCTGCCGGCTGTGCCCTCCGCAAAAGGCAACAAATTTTCAATTATAGAAGCTAAATAAATCCCAGGTACCTGCTTCCAGCCAGCCTCCACTGGGATCTTGGGTGGCTGGGGGCTGTGGCCAGCCTGCAAACAGCCATCAGCCCCTCACCCAGGATGGCCACACCCTCATGGGGTGAGGGTCCTCGCTGGGGGTCTTGGCCAGCCTGGAAACAGCCATCAGCCCCTCACCCAGGCACCCCAGCGGGTACCCCTACCCTGAAGGGGCTGTGGACAGCCTGCAAACAGCCATCAGCCCCTCACCCGGGCTGGCCAGGCACCCCAGCGGGGACCCCCACCCCGAAGGGGCTGTGGACAGCCAGCAAACAGCCCAGCCCCTCACCCGGGCTGGCCAGGCACCCCAGCGGGGACCCCCACCCTGAAGGGGCTGTGGCCAGCCTGAAAACGGCCCTTAGCCCCTCACCAAGGCTGGCCAGGCACCCCAGCAGGACCCCTACCCTGATCCGGGACACCCTTCAGGGCAAACCAGCCAGCCCCCACCCATGCAACAGGCCTCTATCCTATATAATAAAAGGGTAATATGCAAATTGACCGTAACAGAAGAGCGACTGGGAATCACTGGTCACTATGGCACACATTGACCGCCAGGGGGAGATGCTCAATGCAGGAGATGCCCCCTGGTGGTGAGTGTGCTCCCACGGGGGGAGTCTGCTCAGCCACAAGCCAGGCTGACGGCTACCAGCACACTGGTTGTGGTGGAAGCCTCTCCCGCCACTCAGCAGCACTACGGATGTCCGACTGCAGCTAGGCCTGCTCCCCGCTGGCAAGTGGTCATTCCCCGAGGGGTCCCAGACTGCGAGAGGGCACAGGCTGGGCTGATGGACCCTCCCGAGTGCACAAATTTTTGTGCACTGGGCCTCTAGTTTTGAAATAATGTTAAACAACAAAGACATATACAGAATGAAATTTTGAGATAATTATGGAGAAGAAAAAAGACAATTGTGCCTAAAATATCATATATTATTAAAGTAATTGATATTTGGTAGCTTAAATTTTTAATATAATTGTTTTATTCTCTACTTCAATGAGTTAATCTATGTACAGCACTTAAACCAATGTTCAGCACATAGAAAAACATTCAAATATTATCATTATTGTTGTTAGTACTCTTTATCATTCACAGAGTAGCCTAGTTGATCTGGATTCAGGATTTGGACATGAGGTATATTGACTAGAGCAGTTGTTCTCAACCTTCTGGCCCTTTAAATACAGTTCCTCATGTTGTGACCCAACCAGAAAATTATTTTCGTTGCTAGTTCATAACTGTAATGTTGCTATTGTTATGAATCGTAATGTAAATATCTGATATGCAGGATGGTCTTAGGCGACCCCCATGAAAGGGTCTTTTGACCGCCAAAGGGGTCGTTACCCACAGGTTGAGAACCGCTGGACTAGAGAGTAAGGAAAGTGAAAATTATTTTAAAATATTTGAGAATTCATGGAAATTATTTTCTTATATTTAACTGGTAATTTTATAATTTTTTGCTTCTGCTATACTTCAAATTATAATTTAATGCTTTTCTACTATAAAGGGTTTTATAACATTGCACAGTTTTTTCACAATCCCTAGTTATGACCTAGTATAGAATTACACTACTGTCCAGCACAGTAGCTGCATGTGGCTATTGAGTACTCGAAATAGGGCTTTTCTGAATTGAGGTATGTAGGAAGTCTAAAATACACATCAGATTGAAGAAAATGGGCCCTAAAATGTAAAATATCCTAATTTTAAAATACTGATTACTGTTATGCCCAGATTTCAAAATCCCCCAAGACAGACCACTAGGGAGCCGAGTCCAATGCAAAAGCATATTGTCTTTTATTCAAGCCCGGGACTTGGTCCCCCCCTTGCCTCCATTACTGGATGCAAGAGAGAGTCCCGAGTCCCAAGGGAACAAAGAATTTATAGGGCTTGGGGTCGGGGGGTGGGGGCACACTCTGACCACTGATTTGGCCGATTCCGGTTGGTTGAGTGAGGGCCGGGGGCTAGTGACGCAAGGGCAGGGTGCAGCTAGGGTCTGGTTACACAAAGACGGGGGTGGCTAGCATACTCTTGGCCTTGGGCTAGTTTCCCCCCGCTTTCCCATTGGCCGAGATAAGGGCAGGCTGAGTAACTGATACATTCTGTGGCTTTTTCTTGGAAGAGGGGTTAAGGACACAGCTATCAGTCCTGTTCTGTCCTTTCAATTACATGTTCACATGATATTCTTTTAGATATACTAGATTAAATATAACATATTGTTAGAGTTTTACATCATTTTATGTTTTTTTTCTTTTGTTTTTTTCATTTTATGTTTTTAATGTGGCTACTAGAAAATTTAGATTACCTTATGTGGCTTGCATTTTACTTCTTTTGAACAGTACTTTCAACTTTGAGAAAGTTCAACTTTGAGATCATCTTTTTGGTGAGAACATTTGGGAGTCTAGTTCTCTTTCATCTTTTACTAGTTACATCATCTGTCAGTTATTTAAATGATTTAGGGTTCAGTTTCCTCATGTTAAACAATAATTCTTTTAGCACTGGGCCTCTAGTATTTGTATCTTTAGGAAGATACTTTTAGTGAGTTTACAGGATCAATGACTTACTGTTTATAATTTTACTTTTTGCTTTTATAAAATGTTTACGTGCTCAACCAGTTTAGCTCAGTGGCTAGAGTGTCGACCTGTGGACTGAAGGGTCCCAGGTTCGATTCTGGTCAAGGGCATGTACTTTGGTTGTGGGCACATCCCCAGTAGGTGGTGTGCTGGAGGCAGGTGATCGATGTTTCTCATCGATGTTTCTAACTATCCCTCTCTCTTTCTCTCTGTAAAAAATCAATAAAATATATATTTTTTAAAAAATGTTTACACTTTTCTCAATTGTGTTGCTGTTAATATTTGAGAAGCAGTTTTATCTTTTTAGAATGCTATAGTAAACTTCTAGAATGCTTTGACATAATTTTTCTTAAAGCCTAGATGATGAACTGGATTCTTTTCATAATTTGAAGCAACGGGAAACAGAAGTAGCATTAATTGAGAAGGATCATAGAGTTAATAACTCCAAAATAACCAAGCAGTCTTTTAAAGAAGTAGAAAAAGGTAAAATAAATATTCTTTTTGGATTAATCATTTAAATAATAACTTTGTGAAGTAGCCCACATAAAGTTTACACCATAGTGATAACACTTGTCCTCATGTGTCTGTATTTCTGTATTCTAAATTTTTATAAACCATGAGATAGTTACATAAGGAAAGAAGAAAAATAAACTTCATTTTTTTCCAGTAATATTCCTAAACTCTCCAAACTTATGAAAATAAGTTAATCAAATGAATACTTTGTATAATTTATTTAGTTCTTTTTCATGTCAATATATGTTAGGAAGTGAGTAAAAGATTGTTAGTAATATTTGACTAATCCTTTAATATTTTTAGAAAATATTCCAGGTTACTTAAGGTATGGCTTCCTCAGGCACTGAATTAGTAGTTAATCTCTATGTGCCTGGCTGCATAATTCTGTTACGATTTTAGGGAAAGAGGCAATCAGAGATGAGGCCCTCTTGGCTGTAAGTTTTTGAGAGCACTATTGCCACATTGATAGCCATTATGTGGCATATAGAAATATAGGATAAAGCAGTCAAGGTAATTCTGGCATTAAAACAAGAACATGCTATTTAAAGGAGGAGGTTATAGAAATTACATAATTACATTATATATTTACAGACATTGTATAAAGTTAAAAATAGGCAAAAACCAAATAAGCCTTATTTTTTTAAAGCAGAACATGATTATATTTAATACACAAGTTTGATACAATCAAAAAGTATAACAGAATAAAATAGTAGGAAAAAACATGGTATTTCATTTGCAATGCATGAGAAATGGTTAACATCTTTAGTCATAAACAAGCTCTTAAAAACCAGTAACAGAGACACTACAATGCAAGGAAACTGGAAAAAATAAAATTAAATAATACAAGTGTTGATTAAGCATTAAGCATATACAATGATTTTGCTGAGCAGTGATGAAGAATAATTTCTCTGTAGTGAGCAGAACAAAGACACTGACACCTAATATTCTTCAGTTTTGGACAGTGTTGTACAGTTTGAATGCATAAATACTGGGAGGCAGGTTGATGCGAACTATCTATCTAAATAAAAATTGAGTATCCTTAGCGAGAGCAATTCCAATTCATTGGATTTATTTTAACAAGTTAAGTGAATAAATTCAAAAGTAATTATATGAAAGTATGTTTAATGCAGAAAAAATATGTAGCCAGTATAAGCGCCTAAAACACTACTTGCCTATCAAGGCAAATAAGGCCTTTTTAAAAAATATAAGTAGCAAAATTTAAAAAGAAATGAAGCAATGATTAACACTATATTTGGGTTAGTGGTTAATATATGACCAGGAATTTCTGAGGTAACTACATTTCTTATCCTAGACCAGTTGTGGGCAAACTACGGCCCGCGGGCTGGATCCGGCCCATTTGAAATGAATAAAACTAAAAAAAGTAAAGACCGTACCCGTTTATGTAATGATGTTTACTTTGAATTTATATTAGTTCACACAAACACTCCATCCATGCTTTTGTTCCAGCCCTCTGGTCCAGTTTAAGAACCCATTTTGGCCCTCGAGTCAAAAAGTTTGCCCACCCCTGTGACCTAGACAGTTAATAGATGAGTGTTTTTGTGCACTTTAAAATCTATTATTGAAACAATTTCAACTGAAAAGTAGCCAAAAGATCACAGAGAATTCTGTATAGTCTTCATCCACATTTTCTAAATGTGACATTTTTACTACCTTTGCTGTATCATCCTTTCCACATATATTACCTGGAATTTTAAAAGATACTATAATTCATATTTAAAGTAGTTCTTCCTGAAGATTATCTGTGAATACTTAAAACTAAATTAATAAAGTTTAAAACTTTTACTTTTTAGCAGTAGCCTGGCCAACTAATTTTGCCTCAAATTCAAGAAATTGGACTGAATGTTGTAGTGATGTAAGTGACTCTCCTTTGAAACGTGTCAGTTATCCAACATCTAAAGCATCAAATAAGCAGAGTTTACTTCCATATCAGATCAATCAGATATATGATGAATTATTCCAAATACATCAGAAACTGCAGGTAAGAACTGAATACTGGATTGAGTATTTAGAAATGTTTATGCTCTAAACATCAAATATTTACAAAATTTAAGTGCTTAAAAGGTATTTCATTTTGTTTTCGATAAGTGTGCCAAGATATGATTGGAAGGGAATAAACACAATTTATAAGAACTATTGAAGAGGAAAATGTATGGCAGAGAAAAAATAAACAGTGGTCTTTTTACGTGTAGGTGTATTTCTTAGATTTCAGACTTTTTAAAAAAATTATTTATTGTTTAAAGTATTACATATGTCTCCTTTTCCCCCCATTGACCTCTCCCCAGCTGTTCTCACCCCCCAGCACATGCCCTCACCCCCCTACTGTCTGTGTCCATGGGTTATGCTTATATGCATGCATACAAGTCCTTGGTTGATCTCTTACTGCCCGCCCCAACCACCTGCCTTCCATCTGAAGTTGGTCAGTATTTTTTTTTTTTAAATATATTTTATTGTTTTTTTTTCACAGAGGAAGGGAGAGGGATAGAGAGTTAGAAACATCGATCAGCTGCCTCCTGCACACCTCCTACTGGGGACGTGCCTGCAACCAAGGTACATGCCCTTGACCGGAATCGAACCTGGGATCCTTCAGTCTGCAGGCCAACGCTGTATCCACTAAGCCAAACCAGTTAGGGCTGGTCAGTCTTTTTGATGCTTCTATGTCTTTGGATCTATTTTTGTTCATCATTTTATGTTGTTCATTATATTCCACAAATGAGTGAGATCATGTGATATTTTTCTTTCTCCAACTGGCTTAATTCAATTAGCATAATGCTCTCCAGGTCCATCCATGCTTTTGCAAATGGTAAGAGTTCCTTCTTTTTTTACAGCAGCATAGTATTCCATTGTATAGGTGTACCACAGTTTTTTTTCGTTTTTTTTAATCTTTATTGTTCAGATGATTACAGATGTCCCTCTTTTTTCACCCCATAACTCTCCTCTACCCAGTTCCTACCCCACACTAAGCCTTCATCACCTCACTGTCTGCATCCATAGATACTGCATATATGCATATAAGATCGTTTTTTTTCTTAATGTGATTGACATGAGATTTATTATCTAATAGATCCATTTGTCTCAGGTTGTGATGGAAAAACACTTTGGTTAACTTTACTAAGCATGTTAGAGTGTGATAGCAGCTTGGAAGATAGTAGGTGCTCAATTAGTGCTTGGTGAAATAAATGTGCATTGAATAAAAATACTGGCAACATGAAATGACACATTTTCCAGAAATTTAACAAGACAATCATACAGAAACAACACACTTATGAATAATGAATCTGACACTATAAAACATACAAATGTAAAATGTTATTTTAAAAGTACCTTGTGTAACATAGCAAGAGTTGTTGGCATTCAATCATGAATCATAATTTTAATCTCCTAAAGAAGGGAATGTCAAGTATTTGTATCTCTGATTTATATCTCAGTAAATCATAGTACAATACAGCAAGCCTGGAAATCGCAAATCCAAAGCAGACTTCAGTGGAATTCGAACAACCCAGTTTAAAGATATTGTCCCTGACTTTATTATTGTCTACACAACAAAGCATAGAGGTTGTCTGGCTTCCCAGAGAGCTTGCCTTTTCCTGATCACTGAGAGCAGGAGGGTCACTCTGGGCCTTCTCTAAGCTGGCTCATGTATCTTCTTCTTTTAATTTTATTTTAATTTATTTTTTAAATTGTTTTATTGCTTAAAGTATTACAAAGAGTATTACATATGTCTCCTTTTTCCCCCCGCCCTTTGCATATAAGATCTTTGTCCAGTCTCTTCCCGCCATCCCCTACACCCCCTTCCCCCCGAGAATTGTCAGTCTGCTCCATTTCCATGCCCCTGATTCTATTACATTCACCAGTTTATTCTGTTCATCAGATTTTTTATTCATTTGATTTTTAAATATATTTTATTGAGTTTTTACAGAGAGGAAGGGAGAGAGATAGAGAGTTAGAAACATCAATGAGAGAGAAACATCGATCAGCTGTCTCCTGCACATCTCCTACTGGGGATATGCCCACAACCCAGGTACATGCCCTTGACCGGAATCGAACCTGGGACCTTTCAGTCCACAGGCCGACGCTCTATCCACTGAGCCAAACCGGTTTCGGCTCATTTGATTTTTAGATTCACTAGTTGATAGATATGTATTTGTTGTCACTTTGTTGTTTATAATTTTTTCTCTTTACCCTTTTCTTCTTCTTCCTCTTAAAGAATACCCTTCAGCATTTCATATAATACTGGTTTGGTGGTGATGAACTCCTTTAGCTTTTTCTTGTCTGTGAAGCTCTTTAACTGACCTTCAATTCTAAATAATAGCTTTGCTGGGTAGAGTAATCTTGGGTGTAGGTTCTTGCTATTCATCACTTTGAATATTTCTTGCCACTCCCTTCTGGCCTGCATAGTTTCTGTTGAGAAATCAGATGACAATCGTATGGGTACTCCCTTGTAGGTAGCTGACTGTTTTTCTCTTGCTGCTTTTAAGTTTCTCTCTTTGTCTTTTGCCCTTGGCATTTGAATTATGATGTGTCTTGGTGTGGTCCTCTTTGGATTCCTCTTGTGGTTCTCTTGGGGTTCCTGGACTTGTAAGTCTATTTCTTTCACCAGGTAGGCGAAGTTTTCTGTCATTATTTCATCAAATAAGTTTTCAATATCTTGCTCTCTCTCTTCTTCTGGCACCCCCATAATTCGGATGTTGGTACGCTTGAAGTTTTCCCAGAGGCTCCTTACACTATCTTCATATTTTTGGATTCTTTTTTCTTTTTGCTCTTCCGGTTGGGTGTTTTTTGCTTCCTCATACTTCAAATCTTTGACTTGATTCTTGGGGTCCTCTAGTCTACTTTGAATCTCTGTATATTATTCTTTATTTCAGTCAGTATATGCTTAATTTCTGATTGGTCCTTATCCATATTTTTCTTATTCTCACTAAGATCCTTGAAGGTTTCACTAAGTTCCTCGGAGGTGTCTAAAAATTCTTGAGTAACCTTATAACTATGGTTTTGAACTCTATATCCTGTATTTTGCTTCCCTCTATTTCTTTCATTTGTGACATGTTTCTTTGTCTCCACATTTTGGCTGCTTCCCTGTGTTTGTTTCTATGTATTGGGTAGCTGCTAAGTCTCCCTGTATTGATAGAGTGGCCTTGTGTAGTAGATGTCCAATAGGGCCCAGTGGCTCAGCCTTCCCCAATCACCTGAGGTGGACACTCTTGGTGCACCCCTTTGTAGACTGTGTACACAGTCTTGTTGTAGTTGAGCCTTGATTGCTGTTGGTATCACTGGGAGGAATTGACCTCCAGGGCAATTGGCTGTGAGGACTAGCTGCTACTATAGTGGGAGGGCTGCTCTTCAGGAGACATCCTTATAGGGCAGGACTTGCTTCAGTGGGGTTTTGGTGCTCACTGAGTCTGTCCCTTGAGTGTGTCACTTATGGATTGAAGAGTTATAATCTGATATGATCTTGCACTGACCACTGGGTACACTGGCTCTTGGATCTTCAAGGAGGTGCAAAGTCAGCCATTGCCTGGATCTACCTCGTAGGAGCTACAGAGAGATCTGCAGATTCCTCCTCTTTGTATCGGGTTTGGAAGTGCCCAGACGAGGCACAGCTGTGAATCAAGGCAGGCTTGTTGTTTGTGCAGCCTTGGGCCTTGTTTTGATAGCTTTGGGGCTCCCTGACCCAGTTTCAGCCTGTTTGACAGGTTTTAGGCTGAGAATGGACAGGCCATTCATATGCAAAAGCCACTGAGCACAGCTTGGGTGGGGTTGTAAATTGGGTAGGGCAGCGGCGTATCAGGGAATCTCCAGGGCAGAGCAAACAGCAGTGGCTGCCAGTCAGCCTTGCAACACAGGAACAATGACCATTGCAAGTACCCCTGTCTGGAAGAAAGCCACCCCTGCGTTCCTGCCCCGATGGCAGACAGTCCAAATTCTTCCGGTATGTGTCTGGGTCCCCTTGAGTCTCGCCCGGCACTGGAGCTCAGAGCAAGCTAGAGCTTGTATCCCTCCTGATTAAAAAAGCGGCACACCTGGGTGCCAGCCTGTTTTGTGCCTCCATACCTCTTACCAGTCTCAATGCGCCTTCTTCTTTACTTCTCTAGTTGTAGTACTTCCACTCAGCCAGCTTTCCTGTGGTTCTGGATGATAGTTGTTCAGTATTTTAGCTGTAATTTTGATGTGGTTGTGGGAGGCAGCAAGTATAGGTGTTTACCTATGCTGCCATATTGGTTTTCCTGTACCACAGTTTTTTAATCCATTCATCTGCTGATGGGCACTCAGGCTGTTTCCAAATCTTAGCTATTGTAAATTGTGCTGCTATGAACATAGGGGTGCATATATCCTTTCTGATTGTGTTTCTGTTTTCTTGGTATATATTTATAGAAGTGGGATGACTGGATCAAATGGGAGTTCCATTTTTAATTTTTTGAGGAAACTCCATACTGTTCTCCACAGTGGCTGCAGCAGTCTGCATTCCACCAGCAGTGCACGAGGGTTTCTTTTTCTCCATATTCTCACCAGCACTTGTCATTTGTTGACTTGTTGATGATAGCCATTCTGATAGGTGTGAGACAGTACCTCATTGTTGTTTTGATTTGCATCTCTTAGATGATTACTGACTTTGAGCATGTTTTCATATGTCTCTTGGCCTTCTGTTTGTCCTTTTTCGAAAAGTGTCTATTTAGGTCCTTTGCCCATTTTTTGTTATATTGTTTATCTTCCTTCTGTTATGTTGTGTGAGTTCTCTATAAACGTTGGAGATGAAACCTTTATTAGATATAACATTGGCAAATATGTTCTCCCATGCAGTGGGCCCTCTGGTTGTTTAGTTGATGGTTTCTTTTGCTGTGCAGAAGTTTTTTATTTTGATGTAGTCCCTTATTTTCTCCTTAGTTTCCGTTGTCTCAAGAGCTGTATCGGTAGATTTCAGACTTTTTGTTTTATGTTTCTTCCAATTCCATTTTTGTTTAAGAAATGAAACAAAATCTGCTG